AGTTGGAGCTGTAGTAGGGAGCAAGAGCCGCATAAGCTGAGGCCTCCTCTGTAGTAATGGCTCCTGTCCTATGCAGAATGATACCGACTACACTCCACCTCTTATCCCGACTAGCGGTCTCCAGAGTGGTGCCAGCAGTAGGAAAGAAGAGATCTTTAGGTCAGTGTGATGCAATACACTGAGTATAATAGTATAGGGCTGCTTTCACACTGATGTACTGAGGTATACCCACACCACGGGTGCAGCGCAGTGTGCCTGCAGCTTTCCTGCGCTTAGCCATAGACTTCTTTTATATCTTGCGGGTTTGGTGCACTATATGAAAGCACCCCAAAACTCCTGAATGTGCACCACACCTGCAAGATATAATAGAAGCCTATGTCCAAGCGCAACTAACCCAGGAAAGTCGTAGATGCACTGCACATAGTTAGTCTGGTTGAAAAAAGACAAAAGTCCATCCAGTTCAAACATAAAAAAAAAATAAATTATAATTTTACACCCACAATTGACCCAGAGGAAGGCAAAAACCTAGCAAAGCATGATCCAATTTGCTCCTACATAAGAAAAAATTCCTTCCTGATTCCCTGAGAGGCAATTGGATATTCCATGGATCAACTTTACCTATAAATGTTAGTATCCAGTTATATTCTGTGTATGTAAGAAATAATCCAGGACTTTTTAAAGCAATCCACTGAGCTGGCCAGAACCAACTCTTGAGGGAGTCTATTCCACATTTTCACAGCTCTTACGGTGAAGAAACTTTTCCGTGTTTGGAGATTAAATTTCTTTGCCTCCAGACATAAAGAGTGCCCCCTTGTCCTGTGATGACCTCAGGGTGAATAGCTCTACACCGAGTTCTCTATATGAACCACTGATGTATTTATACATGTTGATAATATCCCCCTTAATCTCCTCTTCTCAAGAGAGAATAAATTCAGTTCCTCTAATCTTTCCTCAAAGCTGAGCTCCTCCATGCCTCTTATCAGTTTGGTTGCCCTTCTCTGTACTTTCTCCAGTTCCCCAATGTTCTTTTTGTGAATTGGTGCCCAAAACTGAACTGCATATTCCAGATGAGGTGTTACGAATGATTTGTACCGGGGTAATATGATATCGCTCTCTGGAGTCTATACCTCTTTTAATACAAGAGAGGATTTTGCTCGCTTTATAAACCGCAGCTTGGCATTGCATGCCATTAGTAAGCTTGTGATCTACGAGAACCCCCAGATCCTTCTCCACCATTGAATCCCCCAGTTGTACCCCCCTAGTATGTATGATGCATGAATATTCTTAGCCCCCCAAAAGCATAACCTTACATTTATCAACATTAATCCTCATTTGCCACATAGCTCCCCAATTACATAGTGCATTGAGGTTGGCTTGTAATTAGAAGCCGTCCTGTAAGGATGTTATTTCACTGCACAGTTTGGTGTCATCTGCAAAGACTGAAATGGGATTTGTAATCCCAGACCCTATATCGTTTATAAATACAGGTGAAACTCGAAAAATTAGAAATTTGTGCAAAAGTTCATTTATTTCAGTAATGCAACTTAAAATGTTTACTAATATATGAGATAGACTCATTAGATGCAAAGTAAGATAGTTCAAGCCGTGATTTGTCATCACTGTGATGATTATGGTTTATAGCTCATGAAAACGCCAAATCCACAATCTCAGAAAATTAGAATATTGTGAAAGGTGCAATATTCTCGGCTCAAAGTGTCCCATTCTAATCAGCTAATTAAGCCATAACACCTGCAAAGGGTTCCTGAGCCTTTAAATGGTCTCTCAGTCTGGTTCAGTAGGAATCACAATCATGGGAAAGACTGCTAACCTGACAGTTGTGCAGAAAACCATCATTGACACCCTCCATAAGGAGGGAAAGCCTCAAAAGGTAATTGCAAAAGAAGTTGGATGTTCCCAAAGTGCTGTATCAAAGTACATTAATAAAAAGTTATTTGGAAGGGAAAAGTGTGGAAGAAAAAGGTGCACAAGCAGCAGGGATGACTGCACCCTGGAGAGGATTGTCAGGAAAAGGCCATTCAAAAGTTTTGGGGAATTGCACAAGGAGTGGACTGAGGCTGGAGTCAGTGCATCAACAGCCACCACAAACAGACAGATCCTGGACATGGGCTTCAAATGTCGTATTCCTCCTGAACAACAAACAACGTCACAATCGTCTTACCTGGGCTAAAGAAAAACAGACCTGTCTGTTGCTCAGTGGTCCAAAGTCCTCTTTTCTGATAAGAGCAACTTTTGCATCTCATTTGGAAATCAAGGACCCGAGTATGGAGGAAGAATGGAGAGGAAGAATGGAAGAATGGAGAGGCCCAAGGACCCAGAGTATGGAGGAAGAATGGAGAGGCACACACTGCAAGATGCTTGAAGTCCAGTGTGAAGTTTCCACAGTCTGTGTTGATTTGGGGAGCCATGTCATCTGTTGGTGTTGGTCCACTGTGCTTCATTAAGTCCAGGGTCAACGCAGCCGTCTACCAGGAGATTTTGGAGCACTTCATGCTTCCTTCCGCAGACGAGCTTTATGGGGATACTGACTTCATTTTCCAACAGGACTTGGCATCTGCCCACACTGCCAAAAGCACCCTGGTTCAATGACCGTGGGATTACTGTGCTTGATTGGCCAGCAAACTCGCCTGACCTGAACCCCATAGAGAATCTATGGGGCATTGCCAAAAGAAAAAGGAGAGACATGAGACCGAGCAATGCAGAAGAGCTGAAGGCCGCTATTGAAGCATCCTGGTCTTCCATAACACCTCAGCAGTGCCACAGGCTGATAGCTTCCATGCCACGCCGCATTGAGGCAGTAATTGCTGCAAAAGGGGCCCAAACCAAGTACTGAGTACATATGCATGCTTATACTTTTCAGAGGTCCGATATTGTTCTATGTACAATCCTTGTTTTATTGATTGCATGTAATATTCTAATTTTCTGAGATTGTGGATTTGGGGTTTTCATGAGCTGTAAGCAGGGTGGATTTGATTTAAATCAAACTGATTTAAATCACGATTTAAATCACTAGTCAGTAAGGCTTGATTTAAATCCTAGTTTTCTACATAAAGACTAATTCTTGCTGGTATAACTTTAATATACAAGTAGATGAAGATTTTTAGAATAACAACTTTTCATATTAGTTTTTTTATCCCCAGTTTAATAGGTTAATCATTCATATTTGGACAACTTTTCTGTTGTACTTAGGAAGGAGAAAAATAATCATTACCTTAATAACAATTTAAAAAGATTTATTCAACTGAAACAATAACATTCCAGCATATCTTATTTGCTTAAACATCCATGTTTGTTAACTAATTTGGCTAAACAAAATATATATATTTTAAGAAACTTAGACTGTCAGCCCCTTCCTCCTCACACTTAGTTTCACTTTCTTCTTGTGCAGATCTATTCCACTCCAAACAATCAGAATAATATTGTTTCTATTCTATTCACTGAACTTCTTGAAACTTAGCACTGAAGGGGTTGATTCTGTATTCATAGGTTTGTAGAAGTTAGGATGAAGGTCTTTTTCTTAACTCTGTTCATGTTATAACATTTTTGCTGTGAAGAAGAGGCATGTGATCTCCGCTGAGTCAAATTCAGTTTTGAGAACTGCAAAAGTAAACCAATCATCTGTGATAATATCTTGTAGGCAGAAAAACTGCCCAATAATCTTACAAAAACCTCTGGAAGAGCATGACATTGTGAATGGATTCATGGAATTTATTTACCAAAAAAATTAAACATATACAGCCTTATTCTAACTAATTAAAAAACGAATCTTTATTTCATGATGGAATAACCTTTGGATGGTAATATATTTTCTTTAAAAAGCATTTTATTCAAAAAAAATCCAATTTTAAATTTAAAAAATCCAATTTAAATCAAAAAAATACGATTTAAATAAAAAAAAATACGATTTTTTTTTTTTTTTTTTTTTAAAAATCATTGGTTTTTATTCAGCCTGGCTGTAAGCCATAATCATCACAATTATGACAAATCACGGCTTGAACTATCTTGCTTTGCATGTAATGAGTCTATCTCGTATATTAGTTTCACCTTTTAAGTTGCATTACTGAAATAAATGAACTTTTGCACGATATTCTAATTTTTCGAGTTTCACCTGTATATTAAAAAGTAAGGGTCCCAACACCACTGATGACCCCAGACCATTCAGAGTATATTTCATTAACCACTACTCTCTAAATACGATCTTTTAGCCAGTTTTCTAACCATTTACATATGGATTTTTCCAAGCCTGTAGACTTTACCTTACACATTAGCCGTGTGGGGAACTGTGTCAAACGCTTTTGCAAAATCCATGTATACCATGTCCACCCCTCTGTCCGAGTATACTACGTCCACCGCCACCCCTCTGTCCAAGGTTTTGCTCACCCCCTCATAAAAAGAAATCAAATTTGTTTGATAAATTCTGTCTTTCATGAATCCATGCTGTCTGTTGTTAGATATTTTTTTCCAGGAAGAACTCATCTATGTGGTCTTTTATTAAACTCTCCAGTATCTTCCCAACTATAGAAGTTAAACTAACAGGTCTAGAATTCCTTAATAAAGATTTTTACCCCTTTTTAAATATTGGCACCACATTGGCCTTTCACTAATCCAGTGGTACTATGCCAGTTAATAAAGAGTCCCTAAAAATTAGAAACAATGGCTTTGAAATGACAGAGCTCAATTCTTTAACCACAACCCTACAGGTCACTTATACCCCCTTCCTGCCCAGGCCAATTTCAGCTTTCAGCGCCGTCACACTTTGAATGACAATTGCGTGGTCATGCAACACTGTAGATCCATATGAAATGTTTATAATTTTTTTGTGACAGATAGAGCTTTATTTTGGTGGTGTTTAATCACCTCTGGGTTTTTTATTTTTTCTTAAACCAAAAACCACTGAAAATTTTGAAAAAAAAAAAGTTTTTTTCTTAGTTTTTGTTATAAAATTTTGTAAATAAGTGATTTTTCTCCTTCACTGATGTGCGCTAATGAGGCTGTAGTGATGGGCACTGATAGGCTGCACTGATGGACACTGATAGCTGGCACTGATGAGGAGGCATTGGTACATGGCACCGATGGGCATTGACAGGCATCACTGATGGGCACTGAAAGGCAGCACTCATATATGGCCCTGATAGGCAGTACTGACTGGCACTGTTAGGCAAATGAGATGGGCACTGATATGTGGCATTGATGTGCACTGGTAGGCACTGAAATGTGGCACTGCTGGGGCTACACAGATCATCAGGGCACACTGATCATCAGTGCCCTGATGATCAGTGTACATGTCCCCTCCAAGGAATGCCGATTACCGGCTCTGCTCTCTTCTGGAGCTATCAGCGTGACAGCTTGTGAGGAGAGAAATTCCAATAACCAGCATTTCCCTGTTTACATGTGATCAGATGTGATTGGACACAGCTGATCACATGACCAAGCCGACATCTTCGGCTCTTTCCGTTGATCAGTGATCCACTGTGTCCGAGGGACACAGCGCACCGCCGCGCGCTCCCGGAGCCGCACATGCGCAGTTAGAATGGGAGGACGTCATATGTCGTCTTTCCAGAACAAGAGAACTGCTTTGCGCCCGTCATTGTACTATATGGCGGGCGAGAGGCAGTTAAGGACCCGTGTGTGTATGCCATCCAGTCCAGGTGCTTTATTCACCTTTATTCTGTCTAAATATTTTTGGATCATATTAATTGTGAGTCAATGTGGATCATCTGGAGCTGTGTCAATACCATGCCCATTATGGACAAGAGCTCCCCCATGCTCCTTTGTATACACAGAGCTGAAGAAGGGATTTAATAAATTTGCCTTCTCTTTGTCCCCAGTCACCCACTCTAGATTATTTTGTAAAGGGCCTACATGCTCGGACCGGACCTTTTTACTATTGATATATTTGTCCTGCTAACTTTTGCAATCTGTTGTTCAGTTTGAATTTTTGAGGCTTTGATTTCCTTTTTACATATCATGTTATATTCTTTGTAATGTGTAAACGATGATAGTGTTCCTGCATCCATGGTGCAGGTAGACCACAGCACATCAGTGTGAAAGCAGCCTTATAGGGGATTCAGAACAATAAGGGTTCATTTACATTTGCAGTTTGGAAGGTGGTAAAACCCAAAAGTTAAGATGTGTTTTACCACCACCTCCCCAAACGCACCCCCTTTAGCTGCAGAGGCCAGGGGTGTACACGTGTTGCAGCCGTAGCAAGAGTTATATGCCTTGTCATGGTTGGTGGGTGCAGCATCTGCCAAGCATGACCCAAGGCCACTCTGCAACTGCCCTGCCTTGTGCAGTACAGCTAACAAGGGGTTAAAGCAGGCAGTATTGCATTGCTTTCTCACCACCTGCTTTAACACCTTGAACCGCACAGAAGCATGCAGTTGCTGAGCGCTTTCAGAGTGGCCTCATTTACTTCAAAGGGTCACGATTGACAGGCAGCAGCATCCACCAAAGCAACAGTGGGTATAACCACTTGCCCTCCAGACGATTTATCCCCTTTCCTGACCAGGCCATTTTTTGCAATACGGCGCTGCGTTACTTTAACTGACAATTGCGCGGTCATGCAATGTTGTACATAAATAAAATTGATGTCCTTTTTTTCCCCAAAAATAGAGCTTTCTTTCAGTGGTATTTGATTGCCTCTGCATTTTTTTATTTTTTGTGCTTTAGGAAAAAAAAAAAACTGAATTTTGAAAAAAAAAAAAAAAAAACAATATTTTTGACTTTTTGCTATTAAACATGTCCAGTAAAAAAATGTAAAAAATCAAATTTCATCAAAAATTTAGGCCCAATGTATTCTGCTCCATGTCTTTGCTAAAAACAAATCCCAATACATGTAAATTAATTGGTTTATGTGAAAGTTATAGCGTCTACAAATGGTGGTATATATACTGGGATGTATGGGTTTTTTTTATTAGTAATGGCGGCGATCAGCGACTTATAGCAGGTCTGCGGCGAGCATTCTGACACTGGGGGGAACTGACTTGGAGTCACTGACATCCCACTCGATTTAAACCAATGTTTGTCATGCAATGCACACAATTGCGAGATGGCAGTATGGCAATCAGGTTTAAATCAGGTGTGAGGAGGCGACACAGTGCCCGATGATCTTTGATTTCTCCCATGTTGTTCAGGTATATCTTCACCTCTTTAAATGTTGCCTACCCCTGGTATAAGTGTTAGGAAGGGGAAGACAGCGTCTTTAGGCAAAGTTTGTTAAAGCCTGGAATTCTACTTTTAAAAAATTAAAGGTTACTAATGGGTTTAAATCAGGGGTCCTCAAACTACAGCCCGCAACCCACCCGAGGAAATTTATCCAGCCGCCGGCAGAGGCGTATTTGCCGCGGGGAAGGGACACTAAGTACAGGGGCGGGCAGGGGACTGCTGTATCTTACCTGGCTCCGTGTCCCAGTCCCACAACGATCCAGTCCAGGAAGCGCTGCTCCTTCATTCACTCCGGCCACCCTCACTCAATGTTTGCGCTTCCGCTCGGCTCCGCCTCCTCACCGGCGATTGGGCGCCAGAACTGTAGCTCAGGAAAGGCACACAGGTGGCCAATCACCTGTGAAGAGGCAAAGCCGAGCGGCCCCACGAACATCGAGTGAGGGGGAGAGGCCGGAGTGAAGAAGGACAGCTGACAGGTAAGTGTGCCATGCAGATGGTGCTGCTGCAATCAGGTACAGTGGGGATCGAAGGTTTGGGCACCCCAGCTAAATATTTGTATTAATGTGCATAAAGAAGCCAAGGAAAGATGGAAAAATCTCCAAAAGGCATCAAATTACAGATTAGACATTCTTATAATATGTCAACAAAAGTTAGATTTTATTTCCATCATTTACACTTTCAAAATAACAGAAAACAAAAAAATGGCGTCTGCAAAAGTTTGGGCACCCTGCAGAGTTAATATCTTGTACCGCCCCCTTTGGCAAGTATCACAGCTTGTAAACGCTTTTTGTAGCCAGCCAAGAGTCTTTCAATTCTTGTTTGAGGTATCTTTGCCCATTCTTCCTTACAAAAGTCTTCCAGTTCTTTGAGATTTCTGGGCTGTCTGTCACGCACTGCTCTTTTAAGGTCTATCCATAGATTTTCAATTATGTTGAGGTCAGGAGATTGTGAAGGCCATGGCAAAACCTTCAGTTTACGCCTCTTGATGTATCCCCCCGGTGGATTTCGAGGTGTGTTTTTAGGATCATTATCCATTTGTAGAAGCCATCCTCTCTTTAACTTCAGCTTTTTCACAGATGGCATCAAGTTACCATCCAAAATTTGCTGAAATTTTATTGAATATATTTTTCCTTCTGCTCGTGAGATTTTCCTGTGCCACTGGCTGCAACACAACCCCAAAGCATGATTGATCCAAACCCCCATGCTTAACAGTTGGACAGAGGTTCTTTTCATTAAATTCTGTGCCCCTTCTTCTCCAAACGTACCTTTGCTCATTCCAGCCAAAAAGTTCAATTTTAACCTCATCGGTCCACAGAACTTGTTTCCAAAATGCATCAGGCTTGTTTATATGTTCATTTGCAAAGTTTAAACGATGATTTTTGTGGTGAGGACGTAGAAGAGGTTTTCTTCTGATGACTCTTCCATGAAGACCATATTTGTACAAGTATCTCTTTATAGTGGAATAGTGTACCACAACTCCAGTGTCTGCCAGATCTTTCTGGAGGGATCGTGCAGTCAAACGTGGGGTTTTTGAATTGTTTTTCTCACAATCCTGCGAGCTGTTCTGTCTGATATTTTTCTTGGTCTTCCAGATGTTGCTTTAACTTTCCACTGTTCCTGATGACTGCCATTTCTTATTTACATTCCGAACAGAGGATATTGACATCTGAAAACGCTTTGCTATCTTCTTATAGCCTTCTCCAGCTTTGTGAGCGTCAACTATTTTCAGTTTTTCTAGACAACTGCTTAGAAGAACCCATGGTGCTGATTGTTGGGGCAAGGTCAGATGAGTCTGGGCATTTAAAACCTTTGAGATTGACATCACCTGGTCTTCCCAGACGATGATTGAGAACAATCCATGACACTGGCAGGTCTCAGATTTGCAAAAGGGGCAGAGCATGCTATAAATTCTGCAGGGTGCCCAAACTTTTGCAGACGCCATTTTTTGGTTTTCTGTTATTTTGAAAGTGTAAATGATGGAAATAAAATGTAACTTTTGTTGACATATATAAGAATGTCTAATCTGTAATTTGATGCCTTTTGGAGATTTTTCCATCTTTCCTTGGCTTCTTTATGCACATTAATACAAATTTTTTAGCTGGGGTGCTCAAACTTTCGATCCCCACTGTATGCTGGCTGCAGCAGCACCATGCTGGAACAGGGGTCAGCAAGTTAAGTGTCATTGGTGTCAGTCATCATGGGGCACTATTCCTCCCCCCATTGACACCAACGATGGGACACTATTCCCCCCCCCACTGACACCAACAATGGGGCACTATTCCTCCTCCCCCACTGACACCAACGATGGGACACTATTCCTTCCCCCACTGACACCAACGATGGGGCACTATTCCTTCCCCCACTGACACCAATGATGGGGTACTATTCCTCCCACTGACACCAATGTTGGGACACTATCCCCCCCCACTGACACCAATGACGGGTCCACTATTCCCCCCCACTGACACCAATGACGGGGCATTATTCCCCCCCACTGACACCAATGACGTACTATTCCTTCCACTGACACCAAAGATGGGGCACTATTCTTCCCACTGACACCAATAATGGGACACTATTCCTCCCACTGACACCAATGTCGGCACACTATCCCCTTCCCCCACTGACACCAATGACGGGGCACTATTCCACCCCCCACACTGACACCAACGATGGGGCACTATTCCACCCCCCACACTGATACCAACGATGGGGCACTATTCCTCCCCCCACTGACACCAACAATGGGGCACTATTTCCTCCCCCCACTGACACCAACAATGGGGCACTATTCCTCCCCCCACGACACCAATGATGGGGCACTATTCCTCCCCTGACACCAATGATGGGGCACTATTCCTCCCACTGACACCAATGATGGGGCACTATTCCTCCCACTGACACCAATGATGGGGCACTATTCCTCCCACTGACACCAATGATGGGGCACTATTATTCGCTCCATAAGACACACTTGGGGGGAAATGTCTGTGTGTCTTATGGAGCGGCCAGCCCAGTATTTCCGCCGCCATTGTATGTCCATCAGCACTCTCTGGTCACCTCCACTGTGTCCGCAGTCTCTGGTCACCCCCTGTACTGTGTCCGCAGTCTCTGGTCTTATACTGCAGTGTGCAAAAAATGAAAACAAGGAGAAAGAAATATTTTTCACTTTCTTTCCAGATGAATGGAAACTATTTCCACCTGCCACCCGTGAAAACCAATATCAAATTCACCCATTGAACCATAGGTGAATCTAAAACGCCAGATCCTACAAACCCTCTTTCGTATCCACTATCTTTTCTACCCCTAGACAACATGGGCTTCCGACCAGGGAGAGAAAAAAATCTCTATTATGGTGATATTGTGGGGCAATTTTCATATGGCTTAGGCCACTCCATAAGTCTGGGCACTTAAAAACCTTTGAGATTTGGACATTCAGGCAAGTCTCTCTCAGATGAACATGATTGAGAAACATCTCATCAGACATCTGGCTGGTCTCAAGATTCAGCAGAAAAGGCCACAGGCAGTCATGCAGGGTGCGCTTTCAGTACTGTAGGATTCTATAGAGTGGATACGAAAGAGGGTGTAGGATCATAAAATTCTAAAAGGGTTTTATTCACCCTATATCTGGTGAGTGCATTTGATATTGGTTTTCACGGGTGGAAGGTGGAAGTTTCTTTACAAGAAGAATGTGAAAAGATTTCTTTCTCTTTTTTTCTTTTTTTTGCACATATATTTTTGAATATTTTTGAACTTTTGTTTCATTTTGATGGATTTCACTATTTATATAAGAATTTGATGGACTGCACCATTTAAATTGTATTTTGTTTTACAAAAAATTTTTTTGCACTTTTTTGATTTTATGTAGAGGTCTATGTTTTGCGCTGTTATTTTATTTTTTCATATATTTGTGTTGTTCACATTGCACAGCAGCAGGATAGTACCTGTAGTAGAGTGTCTCACTAGGCGCAGGAAGATATCTTATAAACCCCCTGTACTGTGTCCGCAGTCTCTGGTCACCCCCTGTACTGTGTCCGCAGTCTCTGGTCAGCTGCTGTACTGTGTCCGCAGTCTCTGGTCATCCCCTGTACTGTGTCCGCAGTCTCTGGTCACCCCCTGTACCGTGTCCGCAGTCTCTGGTCACCCCCTGTACGTGTCCGCAGTCTCTGGTCATCCCCTGTACTGTGTCTGCAGTCTCTGGTCATCCGCTGTACTGTGTCTGCAGTCTCTGGTCATCCGCTGTACTGTGTCCGCAGTCTCTGGTCATCTCCTGTACTGTGTCCGCATTTGTTCATAGTTTTTTTTTTTTTTTTTTTTTTAAACTAGTCCAGCCCTCCAAGGATCTGAGGGACAGTGAACTGGCCCCCTGTTTAAAAAGTTCGGAGGACCCCTGGGTTAAATAAACATTTTATTTTACTTTTCAGGTTTCTTTAATGGCGATCACGTAAAAATTAAAGTGGTATTAAACCCAAAAAGAATCATTATATTGTAGCTTACCAATTCTTAGATGTGATGGCTGCATTAGTTTTCCTCATTAGGCTTCGTTTCCTTTATTTTGCGCTGAGGATCTGGCCAGAAAGGCTGTTTTTCAACAAAACAAGTTGTTCTGCAAATGTAGCAGTTAAACGGTTGATACGAACCACATTCTATTCACAGAGAAGACTACAATGATCGGCTTTTATTTTTGTAAAACCTTTATTCTAAGGTGAACAAAATCTAATGCTGTAACTGCTTACAATGTATTAATTCAAGTTCAGCTTCAGTTTGTTTGTGAATCTAAATCTGCTAGTACATCTAAAACTCCCCTCCTCCCAAACTCTTGTCCAAGAATGTAGGTACCCCAATACAGGAGCAAGGTTACTGGCCAGATCAATAGGAAAAACCAGAGGGGGAAAAAAGCTTAAAAAAAAAAAACTAACACAGCCACCACATGTAAGAATTGAAAAGCTGAAATAATACATTTTTGTTTTTTGGGTTTAATACTACTTTAAATCTCATCCCCTGACTGCAGATGAATGAAACATATTTCTTTTGTATACTGTTACTTTGTAACCATCTCACATATGAAAACTGTTTATATAGATCACAGCACAGGAAATCCTATCATTTAAACAGCTGGGAACTGCAGTGCCAGGGGGATCAGCAGTGGGGCAGGGTGTACACTACATGTCCTGTGTACTTCCATTACAATTATTGGACATGTGTAGCACCCTTGGATGTCCATAACTGGATAACTGACCAAAAGGTTCAAACAGCAAATTGATCACATCCAACAAAGTGCCAGCCGGATGATGTTTTTGTTTCCAAATTTTCATGACAATATCAATCCTTTGGTCGCTTGCAACTGACTGAATGACAAACCATGGCTGGAAGATTACTGATGATTAGCGATGAGCTCAGGTGTGTTTGAATCCTAGTGAAAACACGTGTGAATGAGCCCGTCAGGAAGCAGTCTCCTGTACTGGGCCAATCATCTGTCACTAGGGCCACATCTATACAATGGAAACAAGGACGAAAAAAAACAAAAAAAACTTGCACAAACGCTCCAGAGTGTATTATTGGATAAAACCATGACAATTTATTGAGCTAATAGCAATGCACTCACAACACTGACAAAAGGCAGGAGGATACAGGTGACTCTGGCAGAATCGAGGGACCGGCAGCATGTGGTGATGGACATCCAGCCTACGTGACAGCCATGCGAGATGGAAACCAGGCGCCAGATAACACTGTGAGAGAATCTGGACTCATCCATAATCAGGAATTGCAGCCGCAACCACTAAGACCTCCTCCACCTGAAGTCACTCCACGAACATGAGCAATTCTCATGCGATTCAAGGCATGTACATCTCTTCATCAGCGCCATTGTTTCTGTGGGGCCACCACAGGGCTTTTTGTCCTTATTCTGACATCTATACAGTGGGCCTATACATATGTCAGGATGAGGGCAGAGAAGACCTTGGCTGCTAATTACTGGCCCAGCACAAGGACAGCTTCCAAGTGGTCTCACTGATGTGGAATAAAATCAAAAACACACCCAAGCTCATCACAACTGTTGATGAAAGGCTCCAAAATGCCAGAATTACCAAATATATGGTCAACATAAAAGACTGTCAAAATAAAGACCACCTACTGGATACAAACCAGGGTGGATAAAAATCAATGATTTAAAAAAAAAAAAAAAAAAAAAAAAAAAAAAAAAAAAAATCGGATTTTTTTAATTTAAATCGGATTTTTTAAATAAAATGCTTTTTGAGGAATATATATTACCATCCAAAGGTTATTCCATCATGAAATAAAGATTCGTTTTTTAATTATGTAGAATAAGGCTGTATATGTTTGATTTTTTTGGTAAATAAATTCCATGAATCCATTCACAATGTCATGCTCTTCCAGAGGTTTTTGTAAGATTATTGGGCAGTTTCTCTGCCTACAAGATATTATCACAGATGATTGGTTTACTTTTGCAGTTCTCAAAACTGAATTTGACTCAGCGGAGATCACATGCCTCTTCTTCACAGCAAAAATGTTATAACATGAACAGAGTTAAGAAAAAGACCTTCATCCTAACTTCTACAAACCTATGAATACAGAATCAACCCCTTCACTGCTAAGTTTCAAGAAGTTCAGTGAATAGAATAGAAACAATATTTTTCTGATTGTTTGGAGTGGAATAGATCTGCACAAGAAGAAAGTGAAACTAAGTGTGAGGAGGAAGGGGCTGACAGTCTAAGTTTCCTAAAATATATATATTTTGTTTAGCCAAATTAGTTAACAAACATGGATGTTTAAGCAAATCACATATGCTGGAATGTTATTGTTTCAGCGAATAAATCTATTTAAATTGTTATTATTAAGGTAATGATTATTTTTCTCCTTCCTAAGTACAACAGAAAAGTTGTCCAAATATGAATGATTAACCTATTAAACTGGGGATAAAAAAACTAATATGAAAAGTTGTTATTCTAAAAATCTTCATCTACTTGTATATTAAAGTTATACCAGCAAGAATTAGTCTTTATGTAGAAAACTAGGATTTAAATCAAGCCTTACTGACTAGTGATTTAAATCGTGATTTAAATCAGTTAGATTTAAATCAAATCCACCCTGATACAAACTATGTACTGTACACATAGGAATGGTTGGCATTGTCGTGGAACAGACTATATATACGTACAGAGAGAGAGAAATGCTGGGAGTTGTAGTACAGTAGACTATACAATGCTGGGAGTTGTAGTGGAGCAGACTATGTACTGCATATAGAGGAATGGTGTGAATTGTATTGCAGCAGACTATGGTAAAATATACAGTATCTCACAGAAGTGAGCCCACCCCTCACATTTTTGTAAATATTTTATTCTATCTTTTCATGTGACAACACTGAAGAAATGACACTTTGCTACAATGTGACGTAGTGAGTGTACAGCTTGTATAACATGTAAATTTGCTGTCCCCTCAAAATAACTCAACACACAGCCATTAATGTCTAAACCGCTGGCAACAAAGTGAGTCCACCCCTAAGTAAAAATGTCCAAATTGGGCCCAAAGTGTCAATATTTTGTGTGGCCGCCATTATTTTCCAGCACTGCCTTAACCCTCTTGGCATGGAGTTCACCAGAGCTTCACAGGTTGCCACTGGAGTCCTCTTCCTTTCCTCCATGACGACATCATGGAGCTTTTGGATGTTAGACACCTTGCGTTCCTCCACCTTTCGTTTGAGGATGCCCCACAGATGCTCAATAGGGTTTAGGTCTGGAGACATGCTTGGCCAGTCCATCACCTTTACCCTCAGCTTCTTTAGCAAGGCAGTGGTCATCTTGGAGGTGTGTTTGGGGTCATTATGTTGGAATACTGCCCTGCAGCCCAGACTCTGAAGGAGGGATCATGCTCTGCTTCAGTATGTCACAGTACATGTTGGCATTCATGGTTCCCTCAATGAACTGTAGCTCCCCAGCGCCAGCAGCTCTCATGCAGCCCCAGATCATGACACTGACACTCCCACCACCATGCTTGACTATAGGCAAGACACACTTGTCTTTGTACTCCTCACCTGGTTGCCGCCACACACGCTTGACACCATCTGAACCAAATCAGTTTATCTTGGTGTCATCAGACCACAGGACATGGTTCCAGTAATCCATGTCCTTAGTCTGCTTGTCTTCAGCAAACTGTTTGCGGGCTTTCTTGTGCATCATCTTTAGTAGAGGCTACCTTCTGGGACGACAGCCATGCAAACCAATTTGATGCAGGTGCGGCGTATGGTCTGAGCACTGACAGCCTGACCTCCCACCCCGTCACCCTCTGCAGCAATGCTGGCAGAACTCATACGTTTGTTTCCCAAAGACAACCTCTGGATATGACACTGAGCACGTGCACTCAACTTCTTTGCTCGACCATGGCGAGGCCTGTTCTGAGTGGAACCTGTCCTGTTAAACCGCTGTATGGCCTTGGCCACCATACTGCAGCTCAGTTTCAGGGTCTTGGCAAACTTCTTATAGCCTAGGCCATCTTTATGTAGAGCAACAATTCTTTTTTTTTTTTTTTTCAGATCCTCAGAGTTCTTTGCCATGAGGTGCCATGTCGAACTTCCAGTGACCAGTATGTGTGAGAGCGATAACACCAAATTTAACACACCTGCTCCCCATTCACACCTGAGACCTTGTAACACTAACGCTTCACATGACACCGGGGAGGGAAAATGGCTAATTGGGCCCAATTTGGACATTGTCACTTGGGGTGTACTCACTTTTGCTGCCAGCGGTTTAGACATTCATGGCTGTGTGTCGAGTTATTTTGAGGGGACAGCAAATTTACATGTTATACAAGCTGTACACACTACTTTACATTGTACTATATATCTCTATCTAAAAACTTTAACACACATACATACAAATGGGGTTGGACAAAAAAAAATATGGAAACACTACACTATTACATGTTCCGTCTTGAAAGCGGAAGTGATGTAACATTCTTTTATTCTGTGTGATGAGACACCTAGCTAACAGGTGGAAAGCCTCCCTTTCGTCATTCACAAAGTGCACTTCTAGTATTATGGAGTCATGTCAGAGCTTACAGTTTCAAAGAGGGCAAATTGTTTGTTCCCGCTTAGCTGGTGCCTCTGTGACTGAAGTTGCCAATTTATGTGCAGTGTCGCGAGGTACAGTATCAAAGGTTAAGGCGCCATATACAATTTTACGGGAAAACATAGTCTAATGAGCATAAGTGCGGGTGACGTGGTCAAATAACCAAACAACAAAAAGGACATTGCGCATGATTGTGACCCTGAAAAAGAAAA